GCCCTCCTTGCTCTGGAGCATCGTGGATGGCATGGGCCGTGTGTGTGTGTGTGTGTGTCTGTAAGTAACTCCTTTCAAGTTGTTCCTGGATCCATAGGCTGATCCCCCGCCCCCCTCATTCTCCTCCTCCTGCATGCACAGAAACCTCCACCTCTGGCTTTCTGGTAGCAGGGACTCTTCAATAGACCCCCAGGCGTGTCCATCTCAATCCTTCCCCGATGGATTTGCACGCCAGCTCCCTCGGGAGAGTGGCAGAGAGCTGCCCGGCAGCTCCCAAGTTTTTTCCATTTGGGAGGATTGGGGTGCCGGTAAAAGGACAGGGAGAGTGGGGTGTATCCCACCCGTTAGACCCCTCCAAACACGGGGCCAAGCTGGGTAAAGTAAAGGCGGCTCTCTCGGCCCGCAGGGATGGAGGACGCCGCGGTGGCACGGGGCATTTGGGACGGAGATGCCAAGACGGTCCAGCAGTGCTTGACTGACATATTCACCAGCGTCTACACCACCTGCGACATCCCGGAAAATGCCATCTTCGGGCCCTGCGTGCTGAGCCACACTTCCCTGTACGACAGCATCGCCTTCATCGCACTCAAGTCCACGGACAAGAGGACGGTGCCGTACATATTCCGGGTAAGCAGGGCTGCCTGCGCCTGTGTCTGTCCCGGTTGTCTCCACGTGCCCCGGGATGCCCGCGCCGGGCTCCGGGCGGAGGAGCAGCTGCGAGCGGGTTGCTGTCTGTGGCGGGGGTGGGGAGGGTTGAAATCACTGCCATCCCTCCCCCTACAACCACCACGGCCGCAAAGCTTCTCCGTGTTTGACTCGCATCGGGCCGGATCCTGTTCGCTTTCCTCCACGCTGCCGGCTCCTGGAGGGACTGGCCATGCTGTGGGATTCAACTCGGGCATCAATGAACGACAGCACGTGCATTAAATACCTCTGATCGCCCCCCCACACCCAATCCACATCACAGTTGTTGCCAATGTTTGCAGGTGCTACTGCCAGCACCCAGGCAGCGCTGCTGCTAGGTCTGGTTTATACGTCCTGTGTTATACAGACGTGATGCATCAGATCAGTTTACATTTCTAGACTAGCAGCAGTATAGAGAGATGAGCAAATGGTTCTGTTTTGTTTTAAATGAGTGAACGGATTTACCCAGACCTTGGTCTTTGAGCAAAACTTCCTACATTGGGGTTTCCCCGCTCCATCCTCCAAACAGGCGGGAGGAAAAGTTCTCTGGGGCATCCTGGATGGCTTTTCTTCTTTCTAGAGTCTGGAGCTGATCTGGTTATTGTGCCTGCTCATCCAAAGGCACCGGGGAGGGGTGTGTGTGTGTGTGTCTCGGCACCGGGAAGCATAGAAACGTGTGTGTGCATGTGTCTATGTGTGTAGGCACAGGAGAACTTAGAAACACGTGTGCATGTGTGTGTGTGTAGGCACCAAGGAATGTAGAAACGTGTGTGTGTGTGTGTGTGTGTGTGTGTGTGTAGGCACCAAGGAGTGTAGAAACACGTGTGTGTGTGTGTGTGTGTGTAGGTACCAAGGAGTGTAGAAACACGTGTGTGTGTGTGTCACACCAAGCACAGGCGGTGTTTCCCCGCGAGGAGGGAGGCTGGCAGTGACGTAGCCGGGCCCAGCGCCCCCAGGCTGGGCGGTGGGCCGAGGGGCCGGGCCCCGGCTCCGCGCTCACGGCCCGCCTGGCTCTGGCGCAGGTGGACACTTCGGCGGCGAACGGTTCCTCGGAAGGGCTCATGTGGCTCCGGCTGGTGCAGTCGGCCCGCGACAAGGAGGAGCAGAACCTGGAAGCCTACATCAAAAATGGACAGTTGTTTTACCGCTCCCTGCGGAGGATTGCCAAAGACGAGGAGTTACTAGTGTGGTACGGGAAGGAGCTGACGGAGCTGCTGCTGCTCAGCACCGCCAGGCACAGCAAGATGAACGGTAGGCGCCGGCCGCGTCGCCTCGGACGCCTGGATTCTTCTCTCTTCATTACGCAGCCCACAGCCTCCCCTATTCTGGAACATATTGGACGAACACGATTAGATTAGGGGCTACAATCTGTTAAATTTCCACTCCACGGGTTCCTAAACAAGAAAGGGCACAAAGCAGCCCAAACAGGGGGGGTTGGAGCCGCAAACTGCAGGGCCGGGGCGGGGAGGAGAAGAGAGAGAGAGAGAGAGAGAGAGACGGGAGAAAGAGAGGAAGCAAAGCAGGAAGGAAGGAAGCAAGAAAGAAAGGGAGGGAAGGAGGAGAAAGAAAGAAAGGGAGGAAGCAAAGATGGAAGGAAGGAAAGAATGAAGCAAGCAAGAAAGAAAAAAAAGAAGAACAGGGAAGGAAGGAATGCGTGTTTATTACTTTCAAAAGTCCTGGTAGGGCCTGGGAGGGGGATCCTCGAGGGCCGGGCGGGGCGGGGCGGGCGCTGGCGGTGCTAACGCGGCGGCCGCGCCGTGTGCCCGTGCTGCAGGCTCGACACCGTACAGCTGCGCGGAGTGCGGCCAGCGCTTCCAGTTCGAGTTCCC